AATTGAACTGTTCATCCAGATAAGAGTACACCAAGGGTTGGTAAAATTGAACTGTTCATCCAGATAAGAGTACACCAAGGGTTGGTAAAATTGAACTGTTCATCCAGATAAGAGTAGACCAAGGGTTGATAATGGGTGCTGCTGTTGACTGACTGTCTTGAGTAAACCAAGGGCTGGTAATGGGTGCTGCTGTTGACTGACTGTCTTCCTTCTACTCTATCATTTCAAAATTAAAGACGATTATGCGCAAATACCGATATGTGTAGCTTTATCTTAAAACAACTTATCAAACAAAACTTAATTAATTATTCGTATATAAACTTTACTCTGTCACCTAATCGGAAACAGACTGAATGACTTCCTCTGATACAGCAGAAAGAAAGTGAGAAAGAAAAAAGGAATAAATAAGTCATATATATATGAGAAATAATAATTAAAACGTTAGAAAATAGTAAGACGGTTATAATAGGGAGAAATTTTGAAACAACAAGATAAGTATAATAGAGAAATATTTTAGAAAAAAGGTAAGGTAATAGAAATTTAGGCCTGATGAAATTGCAAATGAATGATGAAAAAAGTATGAAGTATATGAATAGTCCCAGCAATACGAAGAAATTATTAAATAATAAGGGGACGTTGTCAAATAAAAAAGAGATAAATGTTAGCTTATCATAGGCTTAAACAAATTAGAAATAAACTTTATCAATAGCAATTACGTAACTAAGGTGACTGTAACCATAGCAAACACGTTATAGCCATATATATATATACATGTCAGATTAATATTAGTGTATTTTTATCAAGCATCAATTCAACCAATAATATTTGTCTATTTTTATCAAGCATCAATTCAACCAATAATATTTGTCTATTTTTATCAAGCATTAATTCAACCAATACAAGAAGAGAATTAAAACGGCCAATTATTCATGAAATTAGGTTTCCAATGAAGGTTTCAATTTAAATGGAACGTCATAATAGTTATTTTTCATTTTAATTACACGTCATCAGTCTAGGAAGGCACATCCGCAACACCGCACGTGCTGTTTTTAATCTATTTTATTTGAAAAGATAATCTTACTATCCGGAACTGACGGAATGGATGAAACAAAACTTATCTAGAGAATTGAATTCGTTCTTGATTTTAGAAAAGGCGCGCGAGCACGTGTTACTGTACGATTCAGAGCTCCTGTTCTAATGGACTTCGCCAGGAATAATGTGAACGTAGCGAAGTGGAGCAAAGGGGCTTCTCCTAATGTCGTTGTGATTGTCACGTCGTGTGAACGGAGGGGAGTTGGGGGTGGGGGCTGCATCATTGAGCTGAAGGGTATGTTGAGGGATGGCTTATCAGAAGCTTTGGCTTTGTTATCAGCAACAATAACTTTTAAATGTTATTGTTTTTGTGTCGCCGATGGCAATCGTTACATACAGGCTTTTAAAAGAATATTACGTACATTGATTGGTTACTGTTAACACGTATGCAGATCTTTAAAAGACTGGAATTAAACCCATAAACTAATTGTTTTATTTAGTCTGTTTGTCTTTATGAGTTAAACTATAAGTCTTCTTTCCTGGTTTATTTGATGGATTTCATGTTAAGCTACC